ATGGTGCTGACGACACCAAGTCAAGGGTTAAGATCTTCTTGCCGGTCCTCTTGAAAAAAACAAAATAAAGTAAACAAAAACAAAATAAAAAAATTAGGGCCGGCCGGGTGGCGCACTGGAGATGCGCTGCTTGAGAGCGTGGCAGCACTCCCGCCGAGGGTTCGGATACCATGTGGAAACCGGTTCCCGCTCACTGGCTGAGCGCGGTGCGGGCGCAACACCGAGGGTTGCGATCCCGTTACCGGTCAGTAAAAAAGACAAAAAGGAAAAAAAAATAAATTAAAAAATTAAAAATGCCATACATGGCTTGCGCTCTATCTGTGAGACGGCTCTCTCGTAGATGGTAATGTTGAATGGACAGTGGGTAAATGCATGGAAGGATGGGTGCCACACTCACGCCTTCATTATTCAATTATGGAAAAAAAAAGCTCAAGATTGAAAAATGTAAATAAATGAAACTCTAGCCTTATGGGCCTCTCCCACACAAAAAGGCTCCAGGCGACACAATTTGAAAATCGGGATTTGGGTCTCGTTATGAGACCCCATCAGCTCAAAACAACCCGCATCGGGCCCACGTGAATACAAAGCAAGCCTCGGATGCCCCTCAACTTACCCTACTCGGGGCTATCTCCGCTGGCAGATTGGGGGTGAGGGAAAGAGAGAGAGAGGAGAGAGAATGAGGGTTCATGTGGGTTTCACAGCCCATGGTGCTAGAGCATACAGCTCTCCACTCTAGAAAGCCCTCTTCCCAGCTCAGAATCGCCCTTATAGTGGATTGTCCCTTCGCCTCCCACCACCCCACAAAACAGAGAGGGGCAGTGACTTGCCCAAGGACACACAGCTCATTAGTGGCAAAGTTGAACCCCACAGCCCTGCAGCCGCTCCCACTTCGGGGAGTTTAGTGCTCAGGGCACATCCCCTGGGTCCTGCCAGTCCCTGGCCCCCCATACCCCCCTGCCAATGCCACCCCACACTGCCCACTCACCTCTAGAGCCCTCAGCCTCCACACCTGCGCGATCCTCCTTGGCAGCCACCGCTAGCTGAGCCTGGGCAGCCAGCGCTCCAGACAGGGCCAGCAACCCTGTGGCACTGCCGCCCACCAGCCCCGCGGGGCGAGGGGTGAGGGGCACAGGGGGGGCATGATGGGACAGCGGCTGGAGCTGCTGCTGCTAGAGGGGAGGAAGGATGGGCCAGGGGCGGGCGGGGGGCAGGCACCCAGCAGTGCCCCTGGCCCAAGAGGCGGACAGTGGGGACAGGGTTTGAGCAGAGGGCATAACCCCTGGGGCATCCGGGGTGGCCAGAGCCCAGGCCAGCTGCACGCCTGCTGCCCCCAGCTTTGGCACCTATGAGATGTCAGGGACCTGGGGTTGGGGGAGTCTCCCTAAGGCAGCCCAGGGGCCGGGAAGACTCACCCCAATGAGGCTGTTCAGTTCGCCCACGGTCACCTGCTTGGCCCGCTCCACAGCCTGGAGCACTTGCTGCTGATGCTGGGAGATGGGGACATAGGCAGAGGGTGCTCTGAGCCCCCATGCACCCTGGCAATGCCCGCTGGAGCCTGACCTGTCCCCTCTCACCCTTGTATCTGTCCCAGCACCTGTCACTTCTATTTGCTTTCTCTCCCTCTCTCCCTCCCTCTCCCTTTCCTTTGTAAACTATGGAATAAACACACGACATATAAGTGCAGTTCAAACTAATCGTTACAAATCAGGGTCTCTCCCCTGCGGGGCTATGGACATTCAGGGCTGGAACGTTCTCCGTGGCGGGGCGTCCTGGGCGCTGCAGGTGCTGAGTAGCGTCCCTGGCCTCCACCCACTCCATGCCAGGAGCTCCCCCAGTCATGACAACCACACATGTCTCCTGGGGGCAAAGCTGCCCCCAGTAGAAAACCACTGTTATAAACGAGCACCCAAGTACCAACCACCCAGGCCAAGAAATAGAAATTACCAGCTGCTAGAAGCCCCCTGGGCTCCCCCCATCATAACGCCTTCCTTTCTCCACCTTCATGACAATAATTTTTTTGTTTTTCTATATAATTTTACCACCTACGATTGCTTTTCTAAACCTGCTTGGATTTGTCCGTGTTGAACTATTTAACGGGCTTTCTCTGTGTTCTCTTTGGCGTCTGGCTTCTTTCACTCAACATAACGTTGCAAGCTTCCTGCATGATGTGGTGGGTGGGCCTATCCTGCTCAGCGCTCAGCGCCACACAATTCTCTGCCAGGATAAAAGCTTCTCTATCTGTGCTGTCCGATACAGAAGCCACTGGCCACGTGTGGCTACACAGCACTTGAAACGTGGCCGCTGCAACCAAACAACGGAATGTTTCATTTTATGGAATCTAAATGGATATAAATTTTTTTTTTTTTTGTCTTTTGTCTTTTTCCGTGTCCGGCAACGGATTGCAACCCTCAGTGTCGCCCCCGTACCGGACCCTCGTACCGCCCTCGTACCGCCCCCGTACCGGACCCTCGTACCGCCCTCGTACCGCCCCCGTACCGGACCCTCGTACCGCCCTCGTACCGCCCCCGTACCGGACCCTCGTACCGCCCTCGTACCGCCCCCGTACCGGACCCTCGTACCGCCCTCGTACCGCCCCCGTACCGGACCCTCGTACCGCCCTCGTACCGCCCCCGTACCGGACCCTCGTACCGCCCTCGTACCGCCCCCGTACCGGACCCTCGTACCGCCCTCGTACCGCCCCCGTACCGGACCCTCGTACCGCCCTCGTACCGCCCCCGTACCGGACCCTCGTACCGCCCTCGTACCGCCCCCGTACCGGACCCTCGTACCGCCCTCGTACCGCCCCCGTACCGGACCCTCGTACCGCCCTCGTACCGCCCCCGTACCGGACCCTCGTACCGCCCTCGTACCGCCCCCGTACCGGACCCTCGTACCGCCCTCGTACCGCCCCCGTACCGGACCCTCGTACCGCCCTCGTACCGCCCCCGTACCGGACCCTCGTACCGCCCTCGTACCGCCCCCGTACCGGACCCTCGTACCGCCCTCGTACCGCCCCCGTACCGGACCCTCGTACCGCCCTCGTACCGCCCCCGTACCGGACCCTCGTACCGCCCTCGTACCGCCCCCGTATCGCAACCCTCGGTGTTGCTCCCGCGCCTCGCTCAGCCAGTGAGCGGGAACCGGTCTGTATGTGGGATCCGAACCCTCGGGCGGGAGCGCCGCCGCGCTTCCCAAGCGGCGCACTGTAGCAGTGCGCCACCAGGCCGGCCCTAAATGGATATAAATTAAATTTAATAAATTTAAACATCAGTTAATATAAGTTTAAGTGGCCACACGTGGCTGTGACTACAGTATGGGGTAGCAAGAGTTGTAGCATATTCTTTTTTTTTTTTTTGGTGGCTGACCTTTGTGGGGATCTGAGCCCACGACCTTGATGTTATAACGCTGCACTCTAACCAACTGAGCTAACCTGCTGCCAGCCCGAGTTGTAGCATATTCTACTGCATGCCTCTTGTTTATCCGTGCTCCTGAGGATGGGCCTTCGGGCTGTTCCCATCGAGGAGGTGTCAGGATGCTGATATGAAGCTCCTGGACATGGTCACCTGTGTGTGAGTTTGTCTAGGACAGGGGTTGGCAGCCTTGTTCAATAAAGGGCCAGAGAGTAAAAATGTTCTGCCTTTGCAGGCCAGAGGGTCTCGGTCACTACTACTCAGCTCTGCCCTTGCAGTGGGAAAGCTGGTATAGACAAAATATACACAAATGTGAATGGCTGTGTGCCAATAAAATTTTATTTACAAAACAAGTGGAGGGTCGGATGTGGCCCTCAGGCTACAGACTGCTGATTTGCAGTCTAGAAGAATGGAGTTGCTGGGGCAGATATGTGTGCCTTTATTCACTATTTCCATAAGTCTTCTTACCTGCATTTCTTGAAGTTCTAGCCCTTTTCACCCTGGGCCACCTTGTCCCCACCCTTGGCTTCAGATGCCATCTCTACACTCTGCCTCTAGACAGGACCTCTCCCCATCCCAAGCTTCCAGAAACCTCAGACTCAGTGGGGTCCAAACCAAGTTGAGCATCTCCCCTCTGTGTTTGGTCCCCACAGCAGTGAAGGCCCTCCCAATTTACCCTCGTGTCTCTCTAGAGACAGAATGCTCCTGAGAGAAACAGGAAGAGCCAGTGCAAAGGTCCTGAGGCTGGAAGGAACTTGGGGCATTCTCACAAGAGCTAACTTTTTTTGTTAAGTCTCAATAAAGTGCTCAAACTATTTACTGCATATCTGTCTTAGTTCCATCTTCTTAAAATTGTTGTGGTCAAAAATTACAAAACAAAATTTACCACTTTAACCATTGCGAAGTCCACAATTCTGTGGCATTAAGCATATTCACATGGCTGTGCAGCCATCACCACCATCATCTCCAGAACTTTCTCATCTTCCCAACCAAAACTCTGTCCCCATTAAACACTCACCCCCATCCCCCTCCCCAGCCCCTGGCATCCCCCATTCTACTTTCTGCCTCTGTGGATCTGACGACTCTAGGGACCTCCTATGAGTGGAATCACATGACACCTGTTCTTTTGTGTCTGGTGTCTTTCACTGAGCGTGACAAAAGGGTCAACTTTTATTGGGCGATGACTAAGCACCTGGCATCACCCTCAGCCCTCTTCTTGCTCCTATAAGCTCCTCCAAACTTCACGACTGGGGCTGGCCGGTTAGCTCACTCGATTAGAGCCTGGTGCCGATAACACCAAGCTCACGGGTTCGGATCCCTGTACCAGCAAGCTGCCAAGACCCAAATAAATAAACTTCATGACTGATACAGAAACAGAGGCACAGAGAGATAAGTGTCTTGCCTGAGGCCACACAGCCAGGATTGGGACAGGACTGGGACAGGATGGGGACCCAGGCAGCCTGGACGCAGGGCTCGAGTGGGTCAGCTCTATGCCTTGTTACTGACCAAGCAGAGAAAAGCCCCCATCCTCAAGCTCAGCCAACATCTCCCTCCATCCCTGCAGCCCCTGCCCCAGCCAGAATTAAGTGCCTGAGGTGCCCACCCAGACCTACTCCCTCTAACCTTCCTCCAGCTCCCCCTGGACCCACTCACCTCCTGGGTCAGGAAGGGAATAATCTGCGCACAGATACCACTGAGGCGCTTCACGATCTCAGCCTGGCAGGAAGCAATGACACAGGTTTGGAAGAGGATGGAGATCCCAAATCCAGGCCCCCAACTCCCACACATAACAAGCATTTGCAAAGCTGAGGGGGAGAGGGGCTGTGGCCCGCAGGTGCAACAGGAAAACCGAGGCTACAGCCCAGGGTAGCCTGGAGCCCAGAAGACCAGGGCTGAGGTCCTGCGTGTCACAGACACACCGCACGCCACACACACACTGGATTCGCAGGCTGCCTCCACACAGACACCCAGCTCAGACACGGATACTTAAAGGTGTCGGGTGAGCATAAAGGAAGGGAGAGGGGCCTCCGCCGAATAGGAGTCCCAGGTTCTAGCCCTGGCTGCGTGTGGACACAGCCTCTCTCTGGGTGTCGTCTGCCATCTGGGCTGATCTGCTTCCCGGGGGTGCCCCAAAGAGGCCGAGTAGAGGAGAAGCTGTGTGGATGGGGAAGGGGGCCGTGGTAGGTCATGCCCCACCAGGAGGGCAAAACCAGGCTCCCAGGGCCTGGGCACTACCCCAGGTCCTCGACCCCATAAAGGG